GACAATTTTGGACACTGGAGGTGGTGTGAGAGGAGGGTGGGAAGGGACAGAGGGTCAGAAAGAGGGGTGGAAATAATTCTAGCTACTAGAATTGGAAATTTTTTTTTTTTGTAATGTGCATGATTGAGTCACTATGCAGTGTGTACTGGATGGGAGATCGCATTTTGTGTGCTGTGATGATGCCTAGGGAAGGAATGTAAATTGAGTTACAAAAAAAAAAGTTTCAGGAATAAAATATATCTATTTAATGACTGCAGTAGGATATGTAGCCCCAGTTAGGTGCTACTTTATAGGATGCGTAAAGTTAGACTTGTGCTCATGGAAATGTGTGTGTCACATGTGTTTGCTAGGAGGGTATTTGGATTGATGAGGGTCTTTGGTGATTCAATAAAATGTGGGGGGGAAATGGTATAGAAAGCAAGCATAGATAACAGAGACAGTGTGGGAGGAGAACAGGAGGTGGCAGAGAGTAAGAGAGAGGGAACCAAGGATGGGGGGAAAAAAGCAAAACATACAGAAAACAAGAAATGGAAGATCATTTGCTAATAATAATATGTTTGTTGATGTGCTTGATTGAGACAATATACAGTGTACTCTGGATGGAAAATCTCATTTTGTATGCTGTAATGATGTACAGTGAATGAATGCAAATAAATAAATTGGAAAAAAATATAAAAAAAAAAAAAGAAGAAAAAACCTGAGAAGAGGCAAGCCTGAAAGGACAGAGCTACGAATGCAAATAAATAAATTGGAAAAAAAATATAAAAAAAAAAAGAAGAAAAAACCTGAGAAGAGGCAAGCCTGAAAGGACAGAGCTACCACCCTGCCCAGTACTCAGAGCAGTGGCTCAGTAGGCAGACTATCCCAACAAAGAAAAAAACGGATCAAGGTGCAAGGTGCTGGGAGGCCACGGGCAGTGTCCTGGAGTGACCCACCAGGCCGAGACCTCAAGTGGTTGTGGGCAGCGATAGTGAGAGACCGCTGCAGCAGGGCCAGAGGCTGCATAGGGGACATAAGAGGTAGGGCACTTGGCGAGGCAGCCACCTGGAGCCGCAGCTGATGCTGGAACAGGTAGGCCAGGGCCAGCACTTCGCAAAACAAGCCATCTTTACAGGGACTGCTGGAGCAATCTTACTAATGATTTTAAGAGCTCAAACTTTTTATTCTAAGATGTTTTGTCTTCTTGGCTTGTTGGTTGGTTTTACTCAGTGTCTAGCTGCTTCTCTTTGGTGGCCTGAACTGCTTTCAACAAAAGCATTTTCATATTCTTCTAAATCATGTCCACCTCCTACATTCGCTCTTCGGTGGTATAAGCTGCCTTTCCTGCTCTTCCTGCTGTGCTTCCAGGCCCCTCCCTGCCACCTCTTCCTGGATCCTGAGCATCCCTGTA